CTCACTCCCTGTGACTGTAGATGTCTCACTCCCTGTGACTGTAGATGTCTCACTCCCTGTGACTGTAGATGTGTCTCACCCCCTGTGACTGTAGATGTGTCTCACTCCCTGTGACTGTAGATGTGTCTCACTCCGTGACTGTAGATGTGTCTCACTCCCTGTGACTCTAGTGTATATACGTGTGTGTGTATGTATGTATATATATATATATATAAATTCCAACTGCAGTTAGACTGTATAACACATCATGATGGCAGCAGTAATACATGTATGTACCTGCATATATATTCATTTATGTACTGTACTAGGTATTTATACATTGTTATATATCAGCAGTATAGTGTTTTTCTGTTTTTCTTTTACTTATCTTTCTTTATTGTATCTCACCCTGTCCTGTTTTGAGCTGCTGTAATGTGCAAATTTCCCCACTGTGGGATCAATAATATCTTATCTTATCTTATCTTATCTTATCTTATATCTTATATCTTATATCTCATCTTATCTTATCTCCATTTGTGTCAGCCTGCCCCAGGGCCACATCCAAATGATCAGCAGGGCTAAGGCGGTCCCTTAGGTTACAGCCAACAGTTGAGACTTAAAAATAAAAAATTGAAGATAAACCTGATCAGAATTATTGATTAGCACACACATCAATATTCAGGTAAATAATAGGAGAAAATGTGTTTATTTGATGAGAAATGAGACAGATTTTCCTGTTTCTCTTCTGTTGGGACGTCCAGAACACACACAGCTTTCTGGTATTTCTATATACATTACAAAGCTTAAATACACTCTAAAATATTACACATCTTTCTGTTAATAATGTAATAGTTTACATGATCAATCCTTATTCTTCACTATTTTGCCAATATGAACGGTAATGATAAATGCAGAGTGCCYCGTGTCCCCTGGCAGGCTCTGTATTAGGCCAAGTAGATCTGAAGGTAGGATAAACAGTGTATGACACGGTTAAAAGAAGGTCTGATGTGAGCCGCGTCGCAACGAGGAAACACATTCAGGGGGTGGGGGGGCACATAAATCCACCGTTTGTTCAGTCCTCAGGTCAAAAGTATAAAAACCCTCCAGTTTTTTCTGACTGAGGCTCATTTGTTGAGCAGCAACAAGGTTCAGGATGAAGGAAAGAAAAAGACACAATCAGCGGGGGGGCTTCAGAACCACCATACTGGGTCAAAGTCTGACAGAACCAACAAGAATGAAACAAAAAGGAAAGACTTAGAGAAAAATTATAAATGTTAAATGTAAACAAATTCTAATTATAATTAAAAATAGTTTTACATCTAAAAATCTTATTTTATTCTATTATCCTCATTCAGCAACCTATTAAATTTCTGTTTCATGTAGGAGAAATATACATTTTTTTTCAGTCAGTATTTAATACAGCTGGAAAAATAAATTGTTAATACAGATAATTAGTTAAAATAGTTATGATGTGCTTCTGTTTTTTAATTCAGGAGATTCTAAACAAAATCCTTCATGTTATGAAAAGACCCTCTTGATTCAAGAGAAAACTCAGGTTTTTTAGAAAATAGCTGCTTATTAATTAATTGTTAATC